CTCCTCCTCCTCCTCCTCCTTCTTCTTCTTCTTCTTCTTCTTCTTCTTCTTCTTCTTCTTCTTCTTCTTCTTCTTCTTCTTCTTCTTCGCAGGTGACCAAGGAAAGAATGAACATAATTATAATTAATTGTCAAGATGGGCTTAATAATCGAACATCTCTAGATAGCTTGGGGGCAGCTACTCATACATTAAAGAGGAAACTTGGCGTAGAAATTCCGTAAACGAACCGAAAAGGCGATTTGTTCCGGGTGGTTACTCAAGTTATTAAAACGACGACGCAACAACAACAACAACAACAACAACAACAACAACAACAAAAGCACAGCAAAAAAACAACAACAACCGTGGAATTATATGGAGGTGAAATTAGACTCTTCAATATTGCATGCTGGAGGTGTAAGTTGGATTCACTCGTGAGGATGTTCGTTTGTTTGCAAGGAGCTATATCCCACTCAGCCTAGGTTGGACCTGATGCACAAGGTTGACACACCCCGCCTCCTAATAGATGAAATGATGTGTCCATGGGGGCGTAAAACATTTGCGTGACATCGAGGTGAAATCCGGCGCTCGTCGAAATAATTAAATGAATTTTATTTACTTACAGATCTATCTCTTTATAATTAATTCATTCACTGTTCCATTTGAATATCCAATCTACCTAAATAATTTACTTCTCTTTATATTTTTTGTTGCTTTTTTTCAACAACAATCCTTGACTTTTTCTTTCTTTCTTTCTTTCTTTTTTTTCTTTCTTTTGTTCTTTCTTTCTTTCTTTGTTTCTTTGTTTGTTTGTTTGTTTCTTTTTTTCTTTCTTTCTTTCTTTGTTTCTTTGTTTCTTTGTTTCTTTCTTTCTTTCTTTAACTTTTAGTATACGCGCACCAGTGTTGTACAAACGTTAAATAGGAGAGGAAGTCTAAGAAAGTATGTGATCCTAAAAAAATAAACGACAAAATTGGCTGTTAACAACGAACATGGAAGAGTCTTCATCATCATCATCATCATCATCATCATCATCATCATCATCATCATCATCATCAGCATCATCATCATCAGCATCATCATCAGCATCATTATCATCATTACTGCCTTACTAATACAACATCAGAGTATAAGCCACGAACAAACACTTTCGACCTTTCCCTTGTTACTTATAACTTGTCTTTGGCAACAGCGTCATTGCACACCGGACAGGTCTATAAGTGCTCAGTCCCTCTCCGCACTAAAGCCCGCAAGGTATCCATACTAATAATATTGTTCCACTGGTTGTTTAGCTATGGCAACGTCTTTCTTTTCCAGATAATCGTTTCTTTCTTCCTTCTTCTCTCTCTATCCTAGCATCCTGGTATTGCGCGGTGTTCTGCTGTCTCCCTGTTTATCTCATCCCGCAACCTTTCCTCCAGGGTCTTCAACATTTCTCCTTTGTCGAATTTCACCTCACCATCAACCACGACACTGCCTGCCAGCCTATCAGCTTCCCCATTGGCCTTCACTCCAGAGTGCCCAGGACAGAATATCTAAGTGATGTGTGTTATATTGGGTTCTTCTATTAATTCTGAAGCAGCCCTTTCTCAACTCGTCGTAGGATGCTCTGGGAGTCTGTGGCAATCATGAGAAGGGTAGGTAATGTCTTCCCACTTTTCTGTACATCATTCTAGACTTTTAGCATTCTAGCCCTCTAGCCTTGTGTAGACTACGAGTTAATCAGTATCCCACATGAAAACATTAAAAGGGACACCGAACCCAAAAGGATTTATAATTTTTCATTAAAGTATTTGTTGCAGGCAGCGTAAACAACTCATCTGATACGTCTAGTTGCTCTACTCACCCTGGATGATGTGGCACCGTGTGGTTTGAGGCCGTTGTGTTGTGTCCTGGAACGACAAAAAGTATACGAAGACAGTGTCAGATTGTGTGAGGTCATTGTCATAGAGAGAACGCATCTCTCTCTTTCTGCTCCCCCCCTCTCTCTCTCCCTCTCTCTCTCTCTCTCTCTCTCTCTCTCTCTCTCTCTCTCTCTCTCTCTCTCTCTCTCTCTCTTTGCATGTTGATAGTGGTCATTGGCGGTCGTTGAAAAGTAAGACAGAAAGACAGAGATAGTAGAGGAGAAATGGGACCTACCAGTGGTACCCTCCTGCCATGCACTCGTCTGTATAATTGTTATGTCTATATTTCCTAATGTACAGGGTGATAAAACACACACACACACACACACACACACACACACACACACACACACACACACACACACACACACGCACACACACACATTTTTCTCCACGCTGAAGCTTTTTGTTTCAAATTTGAACACAATATTTGGCAACCAAAAGGAATTTGTCTTATAATCATTTAAGATAATTTTACAGCATAGGATGCACAATTCAATAGTCTAGTCCCATGAGATGTCCGTCCGCAGTACAGGTGGGCAAATCCGGATAATCTATCTGGATAACCGGATAATTCTCAATAAAACACTATCCGAATTCAGACTCTTTAACTCTCTTGCCTGACCCGTAGGCCGAAGTGGGTGCACCCATGTGTTGAAGTATTGCTAACCCGTTTGTTAAAGTAGTTCTAACCCTTTTGCCGAAGCGGTTCATGTCATATCATTTGCCGAAGAGGTGCACTGACATGTTATCCGAATTTTGCTAAAGCGACTCATTGCCCAGCCCTAGTCCACAGACGTTGTCTGCGGCTAGAACTTTTCTACAGCTCAAAGGCCTGCTTTCTCAAGGCAGATATTCACCTATAACAGTATAATTTTTATGTCAGTGAGGTTAACATAAATCAAAAGATGACAATGTGTTAATGGCTCCTTGGTCGTCTTGAAAGGTGCGAACATTTCCTCAATGACATTAATTTGGTTCAGTGGCAAAGCCCATTTTCACCTCTTTCGGGATATGTTAACTCCACTAAATGCTGTCTATTGAGAACCCCACCGACCCCTTATCATTAAAAAATATTATCTAGAAGACACTTTGTGATGAAAAGTTTACAGTGTATGCGGTTTTAAGCATTCATGTCTTGGCGGGTCCTTATGTTTGGCCACCATTGAACGTTACGAGCAACGCGCCAAAAATGTTTCGAATCCAAAGGAGGGCATGTAGAGGACTGGCTCTAAGAATACTAGAATTTAAAAAAGTTTATTTTTCTGAAAATCTATAAGAGAAATGAAATATTGTTTACAATTTACAGGGATGGAAAAATTAGATGTAAAAAAAAAATGAAGGAAAATAGAAAAGCAAACCGATCGGTTCATGACTTTCCTTACAGGATTTCTAATTGGCGCATTTTACGTTTTTGAGTGTTATTTCTTTATGCCGTTTTTGCTTTCAAGAATAAGTTCCATCTTTATGAATTTTATGTCAAACAAATTCCTTTTGAATGAATTATGTCTGTTCCAAATTACAACATTCTAGAACAATTTTTGTGCGAGACATTCGGGAAAAAAGTTGTAAAGTTTTTTTCTGTTTGGATCACCCTGTAAGTGGTGTTGTGCACTCATTGACTAAATTAAGATCACCGAGGAGGCTGGCCACGACACTGCCTGCCAGAACTAATCCCAGCTGAAAGGGGTAGTGGGTGGTTGGCGGGTGCTCTGGTGTGGTTTGCTCCTTCTTTCCTATCGAACATCTATCATCTTCATCTCCCCTTCTTCTTTTTTCTGTTTGTTACTCTCTTGTAACACCTCTAATCTTCTGGCGCTCATATGTCCTTATGCAGTTGTGAGCACCGTAAAACCTCTACTAAAACTAAAACTGAGAGGGGTAAAAATCCCAACGGAAAGACGGAGATGCTCTTTTCTTCTTCCCACATGGGAATTGAACTTCGATCTTCTTCATTCAACGACGAAACACCTAGCTGCCATACCACAGACACTGGTCGTTTGTCTCTGAGATTTTGAGATCGGATTTGAATAAGAATGTTGTGGTACTTGTATAACAGATAGGTCATATTATTATATATTACTTGTACATTTATACATCTATAAAATGCAAACTTGCGGAAGAAAGATTTAAGGGTCTTACTAAAGAGAAACATTAAAAGAAAAGAAGAAGGCGAATTATGGGCCATGGATGATTAATAGTTAAGAAGAAGCAAGCTTCACCAGATCACCTGTTAACCACCCATACGCTGAGATCAACGTTTTATTTTTTTATGGTAACCTGGCTCTTAATTCACTATCATTAACTTTCTACTTCAATAGACTACCTCGTCTAGGCACAGCAGATTCTAGATGCATAATATCCAGCGAACACTGCCAATCGGATTCATGTGATTGAGTATCATCTCTGTTGAAGGACAAGCTCTGGTGGAACCAGAGAGCTTACGGTAACAATAATGTAATACTTCTGGTAATACTGTACAACTCTCTAGAGGGATCTCGGCCACTGACGCTTCTGCCTTTGTTCTAAACTTTCCAACGTAACAACACCATCATATCCGGCGGTTAAGACTCGTGTCTGTGTGCGTGCGGGTATGTGTGGGTATGTGTGTGTGTGTGTGTGTGTGTGTGTGTGTGTGTGTGTGTGTGTGTGTGT